TTTAATATTGTTCCTTGTGTAGAGATCCTTGATTTAAAAGTGAAAAATCCTAAACCTTATCTGCTTTGGGATCTAAAGCATTCATCCTCATCAGACGACTCTCCTCCTAAACCCCATGAAATAACCTGCATTTTCCTCCTACCCCAGGATATTTGAAAATGATATATGACCTTAGCAAATCCAATATGGCAACATCCGCCTGTGCTGTAATACTTAGAGCTAAAGATACATTACTTTAATTTTTCCATTTAAAAATATGTTTCCCAGGCATTTACATATAAGCCGTACTCTTGCCTACGTAAACACAAGTTCACAAACATGATCTTATCTTGGGTATTTTACCACCTCGAAAGATGATTCACGTAAGGTTATCTATGGGCTTAGGTAAACGTTTATAATAAACAATGTATTATTTCACAGACTCGTGTGGAATCCCAATTCTTTTAGTTACTAATTAGACAAACACTAAACACTTGAGCATTTATGCCCTGGAAAAATTCTCTTAGACGCTGGCAAGTGGACTGCTGGGAAGTTTGAGGGCACCCTCCCTCCCCTACCCCTGGGGCGGGGGGGTCTGTGTAAAGCATGATGTCATGTCATTCGAACGTGGTTTTGTTTGTTGACCCAAAATATTACAATCGAGAGCCAAGTATGTAAGAAATAACGTTTGGACGATGTTCGTTTTCTTGCGTGAACGATATCAGACACCAAAAGACACCTACAGCACTGGATTACAGGCAACCATTAGTTTGGTGACTGCGTACGGCTTTCTTTCTGTTTCATTGGTTCATTTATTTCTTTTTTCTTTAGATTACAGATATAAGGAAAATCATATAATACTTTTTTCTCTGATTTCAGTTAGCATAATACCCTCTAGGTCCCTCCATGTTGTGGCGAATGGATATAGTTCATTTTTTATGGCTGAGTAATGTTCCGTTGTATATATGTACCGCATCTTCTGTATTCAGTCATCTGTCAGTGGATGCTTAGGTTGTTTCCATATCTTGGCTGTTGTAAATAATGCTGCAGTGAACGTTCATGGTTGCCAGATGGGAATGAGTGAAAAAGGTGAAAGGTATTAAGGAGTATGAATTGGTAGTTACCGAATAGTCCCAGGTATGTGCAGCGGGAACATAGTCAATAATATTGTAATAACTATGTACGGTGCCAGGTGAGGACTAGACTTATTACGATCACTTCGTAAGGTATGTAAATATCTAACCACTCTGTTATACACCTGAATCTAATACATCTTGTATGTCAACAGTAATTGAAAAAGAAATTTAAGAAAAAGAGAAGTAGATCGTAAGCAGATATGTGTGTGATTTTATTTACATACGTATTTTATTTACGTGTAACATATAGCATACATAATCTATCATGTACGTGTAATATATGTGATCTCATCTATCTATATATATTTACATATACAATTTCATTCCTGGTGATTAGCAACAAAGACAACATGGAAGGCCACTGACGCTTCAAAGCCAGCTGTGCTTTTACCTGCAACCTTGCCGAGAGACCCATAACCCCAGGGCTTATACGGAGCACCTGCACATCTGCAAAGTCCGATTTCCTGCAGTTCTGGATTCCTCGCCGCCGTCCTAGGCCATGTCGTGCGCGGGGACGCGGTGGTGAAACGTTTCATCGATGTTTGTCTCTCAGTCTGCTTGAGCCTGTCGGATCCTCTCTTTTCCAATACGAGTTAACGTGGAATTAAAAAAAAGAAAGAATAGAAAACAGGTTGTCACCATGGCAAACTGTTGCTAGGACTGTGTATAAAGCTTGAGAAAGCAGCTTTGTGACAGTAATTGTTGAAATCCTGCCCTCCTATTAGGAATATTCAAAAAAGCAAATGAGAGCTTCAAAGACAGCGGCCGACGTGGCCACTGACCACGAGACCTGATTATTCCAGTTCTTTTAAGGACTTGGCTACGTTACCATTTGACATTTTAAATGATTGATCAGGAAGGTAGTTGTAAATAATTGGGTTTTTTAGTATAGGTACCTCGTCTTGGAATTATAGAAAGCTGTGAGTGAGGAAATCATGTTTAGATTGAATAAAGTTTGACCGATGACCGAGATCGTCATAAATAATCTTTTGTCCATGTTTTTATTTCGTCTCTTAGCTCCATTACTATTCTCTGTTTTAGAAGGTAATTCATAGCGCTTTGCATCTGCATGAAGAATATATCCAGGGGCTATTCTGATTGATAATAACACGTTTGTCTTAGTCCAGTGAGTCTGCCATAGCAGAATACCATAGACTAGCGGATTATAAACAATAGCCATTTATTTCTCACAGTTCTGGAAGCCGGAAGTCTAAGATCGAGGTGGCTGGCGACGACTTGCAGACTCAGTGTCTGGTGACGACTTGCTTCTTGGTTCATAGATGCCATCTTTTCGCTGTGTCCTCACGTGGTGGAAGGTATGAGGTATGAGCTCTGGGGTCTTTTTTTATGAGGGCACCAATCTGACTCATGAGGGCTCCACCCCATGGCCTCATCACCTCCCGAAGGCTCCCAGTTCCTAACACCGTCCCATCAGGGGTTGGGCTTTCAAGCTTTGAATGGACTGGGGAGCGGGGGGCGGAGGAGACAACCATCCCATCAGTAACTGTTTCACACGGTGGTTCCTATCCGTTATCCCATTGTTCTGACAGGCACAGACACCCTGCGAGGTAGACAGTGTAGAAGTCGATATAAACACAAGTACGACCGATCGGGAACGTGAGAGGGAGTGTGAGTTATGTCAATCATCTGGCCAGGTAGGGTCCAGCAGCGTTTTAGGGCCAGGACAGAATCAACAGTCCGAGGCAGAAGTCACTCCCTCCCTTTGGTATTTCAAATGGTAAATACCACAGTGGAAGACGTTCCTTTTTAAAAAGTGAATGACCGCCCATTCTTAAGCGGGTACCTGCTGAAGATTATTTTGCTCCTCAAAATAACAGATGCGTATTGAAAGGGATTTTAAAAAAATGCATGGATCCTCGTCTGGAGAAACTCTGCTTATGTTACGTCCTCAACACGAAAAAGGAACGGCTGTGATAAACGGTTGGTGTTCATTAATTCCCTTATCCGTTTACAAGGACTGTTTCTCAGGCATCTACTATGTGCCAAGGGCTGGATTGAACAGTGAACAAAACGAAAGTCCAAACAAACGTCGCATTCCCTGCCTCGCCCACGTATAGTCTCTTGGTAAAGACGGATGTTAAGCCAATGGTTTTTGAAATGTGAAGTACGTGTCTGTCACGTGACACGAAGGGGTGACTCCTGTGACCTACCTTTGGGGGTCACTGAATCGTACCGCATGGGGGCAATGTCTAAATCGAGATCAGGGTTTACGTGAGGACCTCTGTGTGCCAAGACGAAGTCACCTCACTCAATTCTGTGAGCGCACGATGAATAAATGGCCACTCTCAGGTGGCTGAACGCCACGATGCCAGCCTCAGGACGAAGATGTTCCTGCTCCTCCGGCTCCAAGTCCAGTAACCTTTCTTCCTGCCACATCGCATCCTCAGCGAATCGACTTAATTTAAGAAAAGAGTTTAAAATGTTTTAAGTTGCAATTTCTTGCACTTAAGTTTTGAGACTTTTCCTTCGTTTGTTTTTCTTCTGTGTAGTTTTAATTTATATCAGTACGCTTATCACTTGATTGAAGTAAATTATTATTTCATCAAAGTCAATTAACCAAATCCTTTAAATAACTCTCCCATAATTTTATATTAGAAATCTATCCTGTTAAAATAGCAAAGGAAAATTTGTCCCATCCAAGAAAAATCACCACTCAGAATGGATTTCACCTCCCAAAACACCTTAGAATGCTCAAATACGTGTAATAGCTATTTTTTTCCGACACAAATGAACACAGAGTTATCTAAGATTTATTAGCACAACACGCTTTTGTGGCAAAATTAGGACAAGTTCAACTCTGGAGATTTACAAAAAACAAAACAAAACAAGAAAAAAAACTTTCCAGTTTACCTATCTTTCACAAGATAGAGAATTTGAAAAAAATAACATGCAGCATTGCAGACCTAGGGAACTACTTAAATGTTAGTCGATTTAGTCATCTAAAATGAAAGGACTTTTAGGTCTATTTTGGCACGAAGACAAATTTAAATGGTAAAAATCTCGAATTCTCAAAAACGAAATGTATACTTCTCTTTTTCATCTTGATAGCCACATTAATGTCGGCTTAGCTGAATTTGAGAAGTAAACAAATTCAGATTCTCAAAGGAAATGCTCATCTCCTCTACGCTTCGTAGCCACGGTGCATTATTTCAGACGAGCGAGTGGAGAGTAAGCAAGGCCCTCATTTTCCTGTTTCTTCTAGACTGACATGTCCACTGCCCGGCGTGTCTTTTTTCTCTGCTGGTATTTTATTGCCAACGAATGCTTAAATGATCATACGCACAGAGGGGGCAAGACCAGGAAGGCAAACCCCTCTTCAGTGTGTATTCGTCGTAAGACTGTGTTTTGTCCGAATGGACCACGACCTTATGTCCCCCGTCCTGAGCAGCTTCGCGTCCTCCGCACGCCGCCCTCGCCGTCACCCGATGCCGGAGCCACCCCCGATCACACCTGCTGGCATTGTAGAAGCCCAGTTCTGCCTGGAGTTTTCGAACTGATCTTGAAAATGGGGGTTCGGTGTGAACCCGACAGTTCTGGGGCGAAGCACAGCCCAGCCTCCCCCTGGACCATCTGACTGTCCCCTCTGACTGTCCCCTCCTGCCCCACCAGCTGTGCTCAGCCTTGCCCCGTGCCAAACAGCCACTCAGGGCCATGCCGTGGATACCCGCTGATCCCGAGAACTTTCAAGCCAGGAAATTTGGCTGCTTCTTCGTGTGGGTTTATAGCAAACAGGAGGCCGGAAGACGTCAGTGGTCATCTCGACTGTTGTCACGCTGTTTTATGGCAGTGTATGTTCCAGAACACTGGTGTTGCGTAAGGGGACATGTACCCACGCACAGTTTCTGGAGGCCTGGGACCGTGGGAACACTGTGTACCACAGCCACGACAGGCCAAGGAAAGCAGAGCTGGCAGATGTGGAAACTGTGGGCTACGTCACCCCGATTCTCTGCCAGAACCAGAGACCAAGTGTGTTGAAAACGTCACGGAGTTGGCGTTGACACAGATTAAGGTCTAACTGTGTTTTACATGATCAAGCCTCAAGTGTGTAAGCACACGCCCCCCGTAACTGCGTGCAGGGGTGACTTAGGACACAAAAATGTGTTGCACGCACTCCGAAAGACCTCCGACATAGACAGCGCTGTCAGTGGCACGTTTCTCTGCAGGTCCCCTGAAACCACGCGTCTTAACTGATCTTGGGGGCTCATGTCACCCTCACAGGACTCCACATACAGCAGACACTAATTACTTCCAGGGGTTTATTTTACCAAATAATCCTCAGTGAGACAAAGAGTATTTGAAACACCGGCTGGACAATTTACAATCTGCGGCGAAATATTTGTTTGGGTAGCAGCTGTTGCATATGAGACGTCATCACAGTGCAGACAGCTCAGGAATGACACGTAGCTAGGAAACACAGGCGGTGTCTTATTGGAGCAGGAATTTCATTGTCTTTTACTGGAAGAGCCCCTGGGGACTGACACAGCATTGGGTAAGGACAGATGCACTGAGCTAAGAGCCTACAATCTGAAAACCATGGTTTCTAGCGTGTTGGTGCTTGCTTGTAACAACTGCTTGTACAATTCACACTGCCTTCCATGGGGCAAAGGGAAAGGCAAAACTCAAGCAGAGAAAACAGACTTGTGTCAAGTTCTTCTCTTTTATTTGGGTTTCAGGTTTAAAAAGAACTCTGTAATTTTTAAGAAGTTTGAAAATGAGTTAGCCTGTGGATTTGCCAGAGTCAGGCATGATGCTGTGTCCACTGGAACGAGAATGAGTAACGTCTGTGTCCCCGCCCAGAAAGTTCGCAGTCTCTCACAAAAGGTACGTGGCTGCTCCCCGTTATTTGTAGAGTCCGTGTGTGCAAGTTCGCCTCCTTGCTAAAATTTATGTGTAAGCCTCAAATCAGTAGTCATCCGTGGACGTGCACAGGGGGAGAAAATCCGGAGGGGGTGACGCCCACATTCCTCGCTGCGGTCGGCGCCCTGCCCCGCTTTCTCAGCTCCCGTACCCTAAACACGTCATCTAAAGGCTTCTCCCATTTCTGTGCTTCGGGTTGGTGATTTTGTTGCTTAAAATGACTGCCAGGTACAGTGCTGACTTGCTAGGAAGAGTTCCTACAGGGAAAGAAGCTGTGGCGTGTCTCACGCAGAAAATGAGTGTTAGGTAAGCTTCGCTTACACAGAGAACATGGTTGTGTATTGATCAGTTGATAAAACTGTTGTGAGCAGAGGCTGGCAGACCCCTAACTGTTTCCCTGAGGAGCAACGGTTCAGAATTTGTGAATTCGGTATTTGTGGCGATTTGTGTGCACTACGACCACAGATAATGGGGAAGCGTGCACAGCTGTTATGGAAACACACAAAAAGGCCACACCTAGGAAAGGAAGGGCACTGTGAGGCCCAGCGTGTGTCTGCATCACAGCCCTGAGAACACAGTGGTGGACTGAGCTCTCTCTGGCCAACCTCTGGTTTGCTGCTTCTGCCTGCCGAGAAGTTACATGAGCAGTAGCCACTGTCTAGTTAGTTCATGTCTGCTGACAGCTAAATGATGGCAAGGAGGCGTGATATATCCTCTTGGGTACTGTAAAGCCAGAGACTTCATGGGAACGTAGCCTTGTTTTTGAGAAAGGGCTCAAAATTCCAATTTTTGAAAGCTAGGCGTCAAATCTAACAAAAGTGAGAATTTCATTTTTTAAAATATTAATGCAAGAAGCAAAACAAAGTATCAACTCATAGAAACTTACTTCCTTTCTTCCAATGTTCCCTTTGAATAATAAATTACCTGAGCAAGAGCAAGAAGGATCACTTCAATATTTAAATTGGGGGTGGGGCAGGAAGACAGGACTTTTAGGACAGCGACACGATTTTGTGTGATACCATAATGGGGCCATACATTTGTCCTGATCTGTAGAGCATACAGCACCAAGAGTGAGCCCTGATGTCTACTACAGACTTTGGGTGATAAAGATGTGTCCACGCAGGTTCATCAGTTTTGGCAAATGTACCATTTGGTGGGGGACGCTGATAATGGAGCAGCTGGGCGTGTGTCGGGGCAGGAGGTATATGGGAAGTCACTGTCCTTTCCACTCAGTTTTGCTCTGTAACCTAAAACTGCTCTAGTAAAATAAAGTCTAAGATAGTAGATAGATGATAGGTGATTGATGGATGGATGACAGATAAACAGATGAGATATAGATGATGAATAGGTACAGAGATATAGATATATAGTTATACAGATGTAGAGATGTAGAGATATAGAGAGATGTAGAAATACAGTTATGTAGATATAGAGACGTAGATGTTTATAAACCCTCCCTTATCCTTGAGGAAACTCTAGATTCCTTATCGTGACAGGCCAACAGCTTATGAGACCCCAGTTTATCACTCACTAATCATTATTAGTAGACTCAGATACAGGTTTTTGAGATGCAAAGCTTAAAGATTTATTTTAGTAGAGAATCTAAAAGCTGGAAATCTGGGTTTAGGCGCAGGGTCTCAGAAGGAGCCTTGCAAAGATTCATTATTTTTATAATAAATGTAACAGTGGTTTTTAAAAGCTAAGGTTGCAACGCTTTCGATGACGCCAGGCTGACTCGTCATTCGGCAACCGGAACTGTCACCTTTCAGGGCGCTGGGACCTGAGTACCCCAACTAAGCCCCCCGAGCCGAACCCCACCGCGAGGTCAGTGCGTGCGCCTTGAGCTGTTTTGTTCATTCGCTGCGCAGCTGGGTTCCAGAGCGGGACGTTACGTACCCACATCACATTACGTTTTACCACGTTATGCTTACGTTACATTACACCACGTTACGTTACGTTACGTTACGTTACCTTACACGGACTACATAACATCGCGATATGATACGTCACGTTACATTACTTCACATTGTGACACGTTACGTTACATTACTTCACATTGTGACACGTTACGTTACATTACTTCACATTGTGACACGTTACGTTACATTACTTCACATTGTGACACGTTACGTTACATTACTTCACATTGTGACACGTTACGTTACATTACTTCACATTGTGACACGTTACGTTACATTACTTCACATTGTGACACGTTACGTTACATTACTTCACATTGTGACACGTTACGTTACATTACTTCACATTGTGACACGTTACGTTACATTACTTCACATTGTGACACGTTACGTTACATTACTTCACATTGTGACACGTTACGTTACATTACTTCACATTGTGACACGTTACGTTACATTACTTCACATTGTGACACGTTACGTTACATTACTTCACATTGTGACACGTTACGTTACATTACTTCACATTGTGACACGTTACGTTACATTACTTCACATTGTGACACGTTACGTTACATTACTTCACATTGTGACACGTTACGTTACATTACTTCACATTGTGACACGTTACGTTACATTACTTCACATTGTGACACGTTACGTTACATTACTTCACATTGTGACACGTTACGTTACATTACTTCACATTGTGACACGTTACGTTACATTACTTCACATTGTGACACGTTACGTTACATTACTTCACATTGTGACACGTTACGTTACATTACTTCACATTGTGACACGTTACGTTACATTACTTCACATTGTGACACGTTACGTTACATTACTTCACATTGTGACACGTTACGTTACATTACTTCACATTGTGACACGTTACGTTACATTACTTCACATTGTGACACGTTACGTTACATTACTTCACATTGTGACACGTTACGTTACATTACTTCACATTGTGACACGTTACGTTACATTACTTCACATTGTGACACGTTACGTTACATTACTTCACATTGTGACACGTTACGTTACATTACTTCACATTGTGACACGTTACGTTACATTACTTCACATTGTGACACGTTACGTTACATTACTTCACATTGTGACACGTTACGTTACATTACTTCACATTGTGACACGTTACGTTACATTACTTCACATTGTGACACGTTACGTTACATTACTTCACATTGTGACACGTTACGTTACATTACTTCACATTGTGACACGTTACGTTACATTACTTCACATTGTGACACGTTACGTTACATTACTTCACATTGTGACACGTTACGTTACATTACTTCACATTGTGACACGTTACGTTACATTACTTCACATTGTGACACGTTACGTTACATTACTTCACATTGTGACACGTTACGTTACATTACTTCACATTGTGACACGTTACGTTACATTACTTCACATTGTGACACGTTACGTTACATTACTTCACATTGTGACACGTTACGTTACATTACTTCACATTGTGACACGTTACGTTACATTACTTCACATTGTGACACGTTACGTTACATTACTTCACATTGTGACACGTTACGTTACATTACTTCACATTGTGACACGTTACGTTACATTACTTCACATTGTGACACGTTACGTTACATTACTTCACATTGTGACACGTTACGTTACATTACTTCACATTGTGACACGTTACGTTACATTACTTCACATTGTGACACGTTACGTTACATTACTTCACATTGTGACACGTTACGTTACATTACTTCACATTGTGACACGTTACGTTACATTACTTCACATTGTGACACGTTACGTTACATTACTTCACATTGTGACACGTTACGTTACATTACTTCACATTGTGACACGTTACGTTACATTACTTCACATTGTGACACGTTACGTTACATTACTTCACATTGTGACACGTTACGTTACATTACTTCACATTGTGACACGTTACGTTACATTACTTCACATTGTGACACGTTACGTTACATTACTTCACATTGTGACACGTTACGTTACATTACTTCACATTGTGACACGTTACGTTACATTACTTCACATTGTGACACGTTACGTTACATTACTTCACATTGTGACACGTTACGTTACATTACTTCACATTGTGACACGTTACGTTACATTACTTCACATTGTGACACGTTACGTTACATTACTTCACATTGTGACACGTTACGTTACATTACTTCACATTGTGACACGTTACGTTACATTACTTCACATTGTGACACGTTACGTTACATTACTTCACATTGTGACACGTTACGTTACATTACTTCACATTGTGACACGTTACGTTACATTACTTCACATTGTGACACGTTACGTTACATTACTTCACATTGTGACACGTTACGTTACATTACTTCACATTGTGACACGTTACGTTACATTACGTACATTACATCACATCACGTTGCGATACGTTGTTTACGTACGTTACGTTGCATCACATTGCGGTACGTTACCCCACGAAACTTCATGTTAATTAGGTTAGGTTACATTACATGTCACGTACATCATGTACATCACGTTACGTTATGTACATTATGATACGTTACGATCCCTCAGATTACATTACGCACATTATGTTCCATCACGTTGCACGTGTGCACAGCCCGTGAAAGTGCCTGTCACTGGAAAAGGCTGTGGACGACTTTGAAAGGATTGGGGGCGGTGAGGGGGAGAATTCACTTTTGAAAGACACATAAAAAAACTTCCATCCCCCAATAACGCAGAAAATAGTAGGCAAGAAACGCTGCATTCAAAGTAGCTAACAAATGATTGCATTCCCGGGAGTAAAGTTAGCAGGTGCCATATGCGAGCACGACGAGGAAAGCCATGAAGCCGCAGAAACTGACATGCTTTAGATGCTAGAGACATAACCTGTCACGGAGGAGCTGAGGAGGCTGCGTAGCGTAGAGATGCGGACACTCCCGAATTTAATCTACAAAAATAAACAGTCTCAGCCAAATTCCCTTGGTTGACTTTTAAAATTTA